TGTCGCACTAGTTGTACTTTTCGTAATAGTATTCCGCATTCATTGCGAGGGCGGACCACTCCTACCTAGCGTGCAGACCGCGGGAGCTGGTGCCGCGGCCAGTGTAGACCTGGCCTGCGCTGTGACGCGCGCGCTCATCTTCAACGTCAAATGCCAAATAAGAAGTGGCCCCGCGAGCTGGGGACCGCCTCAAGCGGCGTGGCGTGGGGCGGTTGAGCATCCCTCCGGAGGCCACCCTGCGCCGGGGAGGCGTTGTTGGAGGCTAGGACGCAAGCGTCCGTCGCCTTTTTCAAACTCGGGTCCCACACTCCGCTACGCTCCGACCCGAATTTGGAGGGCCATGAAGTTTAAGGTGTTGCTGCGCAAAAGGGGCGGGGCGCGGGCGCGCGCGGCAGGCCGAGAGCTCTTTTTGGAGATCAGACCTTTCGATGGTTCATTTGTTTTGTTTTTGTTTTGCTTTCTATGTCTATCTATCATGCTTCATGACACGACACACTGTGGTGGGAGCTGGTGGAGCTGTCAGCTGATCGATCCATCCAAGCGGGTGGGGAGTGGGGGGCATGGCTGGGCATGCAGGTCCGCCAGTCGGCCCGGCCTCTGACGTGGTGCTGCCGCTGCATTCGCTGAAGAAGAGAGGTGCGACTTGATTGGAGGCGCTGGAGGCGAGGCGAAGGGAGGTTGGGCCGGGCTGTGAGGGGCTGATGGCGCTGGCCAGCGCGGGGTGTGAGATGTCGTCATCGTCGTATACTGCTGGCCCTCGAGTTGCCAGGGCTGTGGGCTGCAGAATTGGCGTCTGTGGCGTCTACGCAGGCTCTGCAGCATGGCTGGCGGGACTGCGAGGCCGGCGGCAGCAGAAGGAGAGGCTGGGCACGAGCCAGGAACAGGCTGGCCAGGCCGCAGGTGGCTGCGCTCGGGCGAGGCGCGCGCGCATGGCGGGCCGAGCAGGCTCGGCATATGGTGAACTCCCGATGTCGCGATGATGGTCCCGTTTTCCGCGATCATTTCGTCCGTCCAATCGAAGGAAGCGCCGGATCGCCATGTTTAGCGTTTGCCAAACTTGAACCGCGACGTTCTTCGTCGCAGATTCCGTGGTTTTTGCACGGTATTCGGATTTTCGCTATTTGGTCGTGTGGGTGTGTATTCCGGGATTAGTCAATGGTACCGCGTCGGCGACGCGGGCGCCTTGCGGGCAGAGCCCTGAGCCACCCTTTGTCTTGCGCGGTCAAAAATGAAAAAAACCTGTATCGCCGAATCAGCCGCGGCAGTGCGGGCCTTCAACTCTCTCGCGATGTGAGAGGTTCCGACAAAAACAGCTGTGGTCGCGTCCATGCCTTGAGCCGAACGTGTATGTATACACGTCACGTCAGCGGTCTGTCTGACTCTCTGACTACATACACAGACGGCCGCGACGCCGGGGGGCGGGCGCCGGAAGGGCTGCGATGCGAGGAGGTCACTCTGGTCAGCAGTGCCAGGCCCAGGGAGCGGGGTGGGAAAACGCAGTGCTTGTGTAACTCTCAAGCCACGCAGTGCTTGTGTAACTCGATCGACCCTGCGTTCCTATCTATCTTGATCGGGAAACTTACAAACTGACAAGCCGTCGCATATAATGTTGCCCTCGTATCATGTATACGACTGTCCTTTCTATATACACCACCACGCCCGCGCCAAAGACGACTAAAGGGGAACACAACTCTAAAGGGGTAACATCAGGAACTGTGAGGGGGAGATATGTGCTGCGCACGCGCATCAGCAAGACGACTGGGGAAAAGAGCAAACGCACGGTGTGCTTACTGTGCGGCCGCGAAGGCGAAGAAGCGGGCTAAGTCGCGCGGCGCCGACGCCGCTCGACACGGAACGGTCGGAGCAGCCGCCGTCCGCCAAGGCCGCGCCCTCGTCGAGGCCACGCCCGTTCGCCGTTGATCCGGGTCCCTCTTTCGCCACTCTTTCATTCTAAGGTGCCGTAAGGTTCTCCAAACACACAAAGTTTTGAAGTGGGGCAGTGGGGGGGGGGGGGGCATCCCTCGCACACACAACTCCACACACCCGGACACGGGCACAGGAGCCCCACGGCATTCAAAGTGCAAGGCCCGGGGAGGAGGACAGAGTCCCGATCTTGCGCCACAGCAAAGAGTCGTCCCGCGAGGTCTCTGACGGCGCTAAATGGCGAGCGAGCGCCGCTCGAGGTGACACAGGCTTCGTTCGCCTTTGGTTCTTCGCTGTGGCCCAATGGCGAGCACGGGAATGGAGCTCCAAAACGCAGCGGCCGTAGTCGCAGCTCCTAACAAGCCGCGTCGCCGGACGAAGCGGCTCGCGCTCGTCAAGTACCAGGCAGCCCCCACTCTCCCACCGCCCGCCCTGTCGGCCTCTCCCCTGCTCCCTGCCGCCGGCACCCTGCCACAGCTCTCTCTCTCTCTCC